TATGGAAAACGTCGTTATATGCCATATAGTAAAGGGATATCGTTGTAGAAAATGAATGAAGTCAAAGAACTCTCCAGAAATAACAATCACTGTACCACTAAAAATAACAGACCAGAGATTCATGTTAAGCATCATATGGCCCGATTTCGACTTGTATTCTGTTCTCATTCGTTCCTGCACTGCACTTGTTAACCCATCCATTGTTAACGACAGTAGCAACAATAATTCTCCGACTGACAAATATGATTCTGACTGCTTCTTAGAGACACTGCCATCTTTATACATAAATAATGCAACTCCAATGACTATCAATAGAATAAATATGTACTTTCTAATTGGATATATCTGTAAAGAAAAACGTGACATTTAAAGACAGCAGAAAATGTGACATACATATAAGTACAGAAGTTTGGTATATGAATTTTTTATCAAACTGACTTTTTTTCCTAACAGCACACCGAGTATCATTACAGGTATAGGCTTGCCAGCTTTGCCAATCACCTGCGTTGGATAACTGACAAATTGCAATGCCATGTTACTGCACACCATGGCGAGTAGATATGTTAGAGCTGACAGGACGTAATACAGCGTTGACGTAGCATCCTCGCCCTGTTTCATCACTGTCAGCAGAATAGTTTTGGCGAATACATAGTTCACCAAGCATTGGACAAAAACTAGTGCGAACATATACGTAAATTTCTCCCGGTTCTCTCTGTCGCCGTATTGCCCGCGCGTGATTTTCTCTTGCAACATGCCGAAATAGAAATAACACACAAATATACCGATCGCGCATATAAACAGCTTAGAATGCTTGTTGGTGACGGTCATTTTAAATTTATTTTTTTTTTTTACGGATGTAATATATAATTAAGATCGTTTCGTTCGATCCACGTGTGTTATCGTCTTCGTTAAGTTGACGGAGCGAGCACACGACAATAAATTGTACGTGGCGGGCAACGATAGGCAGGATAGGATAGGCTAGGATGTTTATATCAAATAGCATATAAAATACATAGGGTGCAAACCCATGCAGCGAAATAGCGGAACAAGACCAGAACCAATCGTGAGGGTGCCATTACATGGAGCGCGGAAACGCGGATAGCGTAACGCGGAAAGAGAGTGAAACCAATCGCGAGCATTCTGCAGTTTTTGTTACGCTCGCGATTGGTTCCCTTCTCGTTCCGCGTTAGGTTGCCATTACATGGAGCGCGGAAACGCAGATTAGCGTAACGCGGAACGAGAAGGGAACCAATCGCGAGCGTAACAAAAACTGCAGAATGCTCGCGATTGGTTTCACTCTCGTTTTGCGTTACGCTAATCCGCGTTTCCGCGCTCCATGTAATGGCACCCTTACGCTAATCAGCGTTTCCGCGCTTCATGTAATGGTACCCTAAACGTAACAAAAACTGCGGAACTTTCGCGATTGGTTCCCTTCTTGTTCCGCGTTAAGCCCGTATCAAACTACGCATTGAAAATTGGAGATTAAAGCTTGGAATTTGACTAATCAGAACAAAAGGAACTAAAATTTCTTTGTCCTGATTGGTCAAATTTCAATCTTCAATCTTCAATCTCAATCTTCAATGCGTAGTCTGATACGGGCTTTTTACGCTAATCCGCTGCATTTCTTCTTCTTCTTTCTTTTATGGCTGGTTGGGCATTAGTCGCCCATACAACATTGTTTCTTATGGGTTTGTGAAATATAAGCAAAATTGCTCTTAAGAAAGGAGGAGTTTAAAAAAAAGGTCCAGACAAAGGACATACACAGCATGCAAAAACACGTCCAAACCCGACACGTTGTCAGTCGGAACTTTTAGGGTGCCATTACATGGAGCGCGGAAACGCGGATTAGCGTAAAGCCCGTATCAGACTACGCATTGAAGATTGAGATTGAAGATTGAAGATTGAAAAATCTCAATCTTCAATGCGTAGTCTGATACGGGCATAACGCGGAACGAGAGTGAAACCAATCGCGAGCATTCTGCAGTTTTTGTTACGCTCGCGATTGGTTCCATTCTCGTTCCGCGTTACGCTAATCCGCGTTTCCGCGCTCTATGTAATGGCACCCTTAGGCTGGCTCCCCATGCGGCGTAACTTGCGTAAGCGTAACTTGCGCTGACCAATCACATCGTCTCATTTCATCATTTCTCATCTCTCTTTTTTTTACTCAAATGAGACGATGTGATTGGTCAGCGCAAGTTACGCCGCATGGGGAGCCAGCCTCAGGGTGCCATTACATGGGGCGCGGAAACGCGGAAGAGAATTGTAACTAGAAAAGTAACTATTCCGCGTTTCCGCGAATTGAGTCGTTTCTGCTTTTCTAGCACGAGTTCTGATTAGCTTCTGCTTTTCTGCTTTCTGCTTTTCGGCCAAGGTGTGAATCCGGCCTAACGCGGAACGAGAGCGGAACCAATCGCGAGCGTAACGAAAATTGCAGAACGCTTGTGATTGGTTTTGCTCTTGTTTTGCGTTAAGCCCGTATCTGGGTACCGATCATGTAACTTTTTCTCTAAGGCGGAAACGTGAAAAGTGAAAAATATTAGCATTGAAATGAATGGCAAAATTTTTCACTTTTCACTTTTCCGCCCTAGGAGAAAAGTTACATGATCGACCGTTTCCGCGCTCCATGTAATGGCACCCTTAGGGCCAATTTCACCAACCTCGGTTAGATTAACCAACGGTTAAAATTAGCAAAGTGGCCAACAGAAAATAGAGGTGAAGGAAAACCAAGCATTCTTATCATTTCAGTTGGAACCCTGCTAATTTTAACCGTCGGTAAATCTAACCGAGGTTGGTGAAATTGGCCCTTAATAATCCGCTGCATGAGTTTGCACCCATAGACCACAGACTTTTACATATAGGCCGGTATTCATATGGCTTCTGCACACAGGACGCGGAAACGCTTGCCGCGCGGCAAAAGACGACGCGGTAGCCAATCAATTTTTTGCTCTAATGGAAAAGTTGTAAGTTGATTGGCTACCGCGTTGCCTTTTACCGCGCGGCAAGCGTTTCCGCGTCCTGTGTGCAGAAGCCATTTGTCAGTTCTTATTTCAAGACCGTCTTAAGTAATGTCTTAAGATGCCAATACGGCTCTGTGATTGGTTTAGGACATCTTAAGATTGTGCTTAAGACGATCTTAAATATAAGAATTGACTATGAATACTGACCCTAGCGTTTTCGATAAACTTATATATGTTTTGTGCATTATGAAATAAAATGTATTAGTTAATTAATAGTTAGTTGCCTTTATTGAATTCCCGAAGGCTTACAAGGATTTCCGTTTGCATTATTATAATAAAATAAAATGTATATATAAAATGTAATAAAATAAAATAGAATAAAACATGTATTTTAATATAATAAAAATAATGTATTTTACCATAATAAAATGTATTTTTTACTATAATAATATTAATGTTTTATTATTATACTTTCTGCGCCCATAGCTGAAACAAATGATGTTTTATTATTTTATAAATGTTGTAAATCTTTTTTAAATATTGAAATTGAAAAATTTAATTTTATTAAAATTGAAAAAAAAATGTTTTAGTAAAATATTTTAAATATTTTTGTACCGCCGCTATTTTGTTTAAGGTGTCATGGCCGAATCCGGAAATCCGGCCGGCCACAGCTCTTTTGACAAAGTTAGCGATCTAGTAGTAGTATAGACATCTGTAGCGGGATTCAGTAAGGACAATTCTGGTGAAAAGCGCAATTCTCATAGGCTATCGCTTGCTAACGACAACGATAACCGTCGCTAAGATGTTTAGCGAATCCTGCTACTGGGTATCGATTCTGTAATTCAAGTGAGGGTGAAAATTACAAAAATGAACGAATTTACTAGGTTTAGACTAATGAAATTATATATTTTCTAGTAAATTCGTTCATTTTTGTAATTTTCACTCACACTTGAATTACAGAATCGATATCCTGTGCTTGAATTACAGAATCGATACCCAGTTTATATATCTATGGTTAAGACTATATATCTATGGTTAAGACAAAGAAATCTTTTATTTTGATTGGTCAATAAAATACTACTACCTCAGAAGTGGAATTTCTGAACACGCTCTCGTTAATCTTTTTCTCATCATAAAAAAAGGCAAAAGGCTTCGTCTATGTACTTGATATGTCTATATGTGTGTATGGAGCTCGCTGAACAAAACAAATTAAATTTATTGTGTTGCTCATATTAATGAATATTAATTTTCTAAAAAAAAATAGATTTACGATTGTTAATTGCAAATTGATTATAGATAGTTTTTGGTTGATTGGTTACACACGAAAAGGCGTAATTATAAAATACGTTGATATATATATATATA